TGGAAGCTCATCTGAAACCTGTCCACCATGGGTGACCCTGCTGTTTTTTTAAAATACAGGTGGCATAGCCCTCAGAATCACAGCAATTCAAACCACCACCGCACGACAGACAGATGAGTGGCGGTTGCATGGTTGCTGTTAAATAGGAATCTCCTTGTACTAGGGCCCTTAAGTCCGGCTCAAAGGCGGGATTTCCAATACTTATTCTACAGTGACACCCAAGGACCCCATCTCCTCAATTGGTTACTGATCCTCATTCTATCTTTGTTTTTTGGGACCTTGGCGGTTTTGATGAGTACTGGTCAATTGCTTTATAAAGTGTATCTTGATTTGTTTTCTTATGACTAGATCTAGGTTGTATACTTTGGGCAGAAATACCACAGTCATTATGTTGTATTAAGGAGCCCTATTGGTGCAATAGTTAAGGACTTCACTGCTAACCATAAAGTTGCTAGTTCAAACCCATTAGCTGCTCTGCTCTGTCTGCTTATAGTCTTGGAAACCCTATGGGCCGGTATGTGGAAATAGGTTTGTTTGTTTACGAGGCGAGTGTAGAATTATGTGTGCTTTAAAAATGTTTTTTAAAAGTTTTACCGTGAATTGGATGAAGGTTTACAGAGCAAATCATCAATTTTACATTTGACAGTTCATACACGTTGTTTTATGTCATTGATTGCATTCGCCTCAATAGTCCACCACTTAACGCCAGTTCCTCCCTTTCCCCTAACTCTTCTGAACATTGTTCTTGGATAGAATCTGCCCTTTTGGTTATCCTAAGGTGTAGCTACCTCACTAGTGTTACTGTTCCCCGTATAGACCTATCTGTTGCTTAGCTGAAAACAGTCATGGGGTGAGTTCAGTTCCAGACTTGAATGAAGGGTGACTGAGGACATAGCCTTGGGGGTTCCACCATTCTCTACTTGACCAGTATAACTAGTCTGTTTTATGATTTTGAATTTTGTTCCACATTATTCTCCCAATCTATCCAAGACCTTCTAATGTGATCCCTTTCTGGGCCGTTGGTAGGGGTAGCCAGGGACCATTAAGTTCTTGTTTCAGAAACTTGGAGGCTGAGGTTCATGAATGGTTTGGCCTAATTGTTTCCATGGTCTTGGATTTTCATTACTCCTCTGTCCTCCGGACTGGGAGAGACCAGTAGTTGCACCATAGCTGAAAGGTCATGAGCGTGTAAGACCCCAGTCACTCACCACTCACGAAAATAGGATGTAGAACATTGCCTTTATGGACCAGGTTATGACTGACCATGGTGTTCCCCAGGGCCAGCAACTCTCCCTCATGGTGTTTGGTAATGTTTTAAAAGTTTTCCTAACTTTGTGCCCTGTATACTCTACCACATAAAATTGTCTTTATGGAAAGCAGGCGCCTTTATAAGTTTCCGTTGTGGGGAAGGAAAAACTGTTGTTGGGGAGGAGGGGCAAGAAGCCAAAGGACAGGAAAGAAAAGTCCCGAGTGGTTGGGGGGGCGAGGGGAGTGCTAGTACTAAGGGTACATCGCTTTCCCAGGCAGACCTCCACTCCAGGGGCCCGTCCCAAAGTAGAAAACTCCGATTTACATAAAAGGTACGCTTAGGGGAAGGGCAAACATGTTTTCCCAAACGTTGTACCACAGCGGCTCTCCCAGCGTGGTCTGGGGGCCCAGTGAAGGGGGGAGGAGGAGGAGGTCTTCCAGCAGCTTCTAGAAGCTTTCCCTCAGTTCGCCGGGCGCCGACCCGCAGGCCGCTCGGAGTCCGCTCCGGGCGTCCAGCGCGCGCGCCCGTCCCCGCCCGCAGCCTTCC